CGTCACATATAACCTGCTGGGAGATGATGAGAATGTGATACATGATGATTAGATAAAAAAGGGTGGACGATCCTCTCTGGATCATCACAAAATGATTATTTGTATTAATTAAAAATGATCCTGACTCTACTTTTATAACTCTTGGCAAATTCTGTTTCTCAACAAGGAAGGTGAGCATTTTTAAGAGTATAATAATTTACCTTTAAATGTTGGAAACAGTGATCAGTGTTGTTATATCTGTGACGCCCAATGAAGCTGAAATAAAGGAGTCTGTCTTTGTCATCCAGTCAGAATTGAGTATGAATCACGTCAGGCTCAAAGCAGAGATTTAATTAACCTAGAATAACACTCAGCCCTCTATAGTATTTGGCTGGCTATTATACTCTCATTAAGCGCCTTAATTCTCCTGACTGACACTGAGAGCTCAGCTCTGTATTCATTACGCAGATGAAATTATACAGAATAAAGACTCATGACAAATAAGGTGCAACTCAGAGGCTCACTTTGATGAAAGTCTTTTAAATTAGAGTTGCATCTTCAGAGTTTTATTAAACATGCTCAGAGGTGTCAAAAGTATTCACATTCGTTACTCAGATAGAAGTATAGATACTAGGGTTTAAAAAGATGTCTTTAGAAGTTGAAGTATCAACTCAAGCTTTTTACTCAAGTAAAAGTGTAAAAGTACTGGTTTCAAAACTACTTAAAGTATAAAAGTAGAAGTAATGTAAGGGGAAAAAAATGCAATTAAGACAAAAGCTTAGGCTGCGCCGCAGGGGCCTATAGTGCACTACCCCACCTCCCCAAAAAAACATTTTTCTAAAGGCCATAATCACTATAATGTTATATTAAAATGTTAATGTTGAAAAATTTGGATGCACCTGTTTCAACCGCATTTATGCCCATTGAAAATGAACACATTTTAGTACAATGCAAATACATTACAGAACTATATATGTGTACTACTGAGCATTAACATGTGTTTCATGGAGAGGAAGATATGACGACTAGTTGCCTATAAGTATTGTAATGGTGCAAACAGTCAAACTTCAGAGGCATGTTATCAATAGCCTTTATTGGAATGTAAATGTACATCCAAGCTTAGCTGCAGGAATCTGTGAGGGCAACGGATGTAAGATAACAAAGTGGACAAGAAAATTGGTGTACCCAGGGCAGGCTTATTAACAATTACCCTTGTATGGTTGTCTCTGCCACAGACATCTTCGTACTAGGCTACATACGTCTGCTATTTCCTTGCGGGAGTGTGGTGTGATTTGTGTCGTGTGCAGGTGCGATGGATCGCGTACAAACCAATAGGGTGTCGGAATGGTATATGTTTATACTTCTCATCCAACCACAATCAAATTCACTCATATCCGGATGGCGCAAACGAAATAGGAGTAACGAGGCTATTCTAATTTCTAATTGTGTGAAAATGTGAGATGTACGTACACATGCAAACACAAAGGCTGGTGTTTTTCTTTCATTAATCTCTCTTTCTCTCTCTCTCTCTCTCTCTCTCTCTCTCTCTCTCCCCCACCTCTGCTGTCTGTCAGTCGACCAGATATCTGATTATTGTGTGAATATGGACTGTGAATAGTGAAACCACACAGTAAGTTCGCATTGAAGATTCTCCACAGACCGATATGGCTCTCACCTCCAATCAGCCGCAGTGTGTATCACCCTTTTGACCCAAGAATAGAGAAAGTGAGAGGAGGAGACAAAGAACTCGACCTGTCAGCAAACAATGGCCGCCTCACTTGTAGCCATACAGACACACCTAAATGCCTGATGGAAAAGATAATCATGGCCCCCCAGAACTCCTCATCAACACCAGGGACCATGAAACTGCACATGCTATCGCAGCTTATAGGCATTGAGTATGTAAGTGAAGCATGGTGAACTCTGATAGGTTACTGGGAACCACACCGAGGACCCCATTGGCCCCAGCGCTCAGATGTTTTACATTAGCGTTACTAGGCTGGAGCAGAAGAGTCGGCCCCATTTTCATTCTCCCTGTGTGCTGTGTCGACCAATCAGGAAGAGCCAGCTCAGGCCCTCATTACAATAGTGACAGCTGAGAGGCAGGAAACTACGCTAACATATTTTTATACTGTGAATGGCATTTTTTTCTTGTATATAAGAATCCGTACAACTTCATCGATGTGAACTCTTCTCAAAAGGTTTTTCTTTAAAAGTGTTGCGATGTCAGATTTTTTATAGCCCATGATGTCCCGTTGAACTCCGCTGTGCTCTGACTATAAGATGTAGTAAGTCCTCTCGCTGAGCTGTGATTGGCTGCTGTAGGAGGGCGAGGCTGCACACCATGTGCCTCTGTGAACCCACCATTTATATTTACGGCAAAGTATACATTTAAGAAAAAGCCTCATTAGTGATAATAAATTATATTTTTTCTTTAGAAATGTCTTTGTGTCAGAAAAAAAAACACATTGTACAAGGCACAGCTGTTGTTATGTGATATTTTCAGGTTATAAACCACGAGAAGATTTCTTTAAATGTTCCCTTGATGATGAAATATCTAAATGTAAGTTCAATATAAAGACAACCAACTGTCAAGTGTACAAAGACATTTTAGGCAGGACAATGGATTTTGTTTCCATATTTAATTTTAAATAAGAAAATGTAAATAAGAATTTATTGAGACTGCTACAACATTGATTTAAATAACCAACGTGTAATCAACAACAACAACAACAATGAATACATGAATAAAAAGGAGCTCTACGCTTGTTGTTTATTTGATCTTCTTTACTGTTTAACTAGTTTCTTTATTGATTTTGAACATTTTGTTTCTTCACAACGGTAATGTTTTAGTGTCAAAGATGCTTTATAAATAATGTTGAGTGAGTCAGATATGGTGGAGAAGAAGGCCAAGCTATGGGACCTTTACCACAAGCAAACATCCAATCCTCCACACTCTGATGTCGAGCAGCAGAAAGGACACTGATGTCATCTTTACTCTGACCTTTTTATTCTCTTTTTAACGTTCAACAATCATTTCTCACGTTCACAGTTTAATGACGCAGAACAAAACATGTCAGCTGATCAATAACTCCATGAACAAGCCTGACACAAAGATTGTTTCAAACTGGAACAAAGACTTCAAGAACACACCTTTACTGAAGTACTGTAAAGTTGTTTTATCACTCTATATAAAAACGAGAATATAGATACCAGATGATGAAGCGATAAAACTGATTTAATGCTTTGTGCAGTAACGGAAATATATTTTGATTTGATTTTGGTTAATAACATTTTTGGTAAATCATATTTTAAATAATGAAAAAGTGGTTATTCAATATGAATACAATATATTTATAACCCAATTTAAACCACATCATAAATAATATTAATTAAAATCAGAGTACTTTTAAGGGCTGTCATTTATAATCAATGTGTTTGTAGTTCATCATTATTTTTGAACAATTGACATGAGTCTCATCGAGGTTTTCAAGTTTCTGTGAGAATCAGTGATTATAGAATTGTTTGGATAGTCTAAGAAAACGGACGTAGGGCAGGTTTATGGAAATAACAAAAAAAAATTTTTTATAACATTTAATTTGTATGTTTACACTTGCCCGAGGCCTCATCTAGTGTAATTAAAATCTCATAAGGAAAGGAAACAACTTGAAAATGAACAGTATACTGTTGCCCAGCTAAGCGTAGAATCAAAATGATAATAAAACAAAAATAATAATAATAATAATTATTATTATTATTATAATTATATGTTCAATATAATTTCATACCAAGAATACTTATATTGTTTTTTTTTATTCTGCAATTTTTAAGAAAAAATATTATGAGCACGAGATTATTTTGTTTTTATTTAGTAAAATTACATCAAGTAGTTTTCTTTTATTGTCTTAAATGTTGCAGTTCTCTTTTGTAAATGCTTCAATCAATCTTTCAGTCTTTTTCTAATTAATGTTTTTTTTAGATTTCCAAAAGAAGAAGAGAAGAGGTAACATGTTAGATTTCGACCTTTAATTCAAAACAATAAAATACTAATGATAAAATACAACACTTTAATGACAGTATATTCATTTAGGTTATCAATTAATTAGAAGTTTGATTTGTTTTCTACATTTGAAAATGTATTCCCAAATGACATTACCATATTTAAGGTAAAACAGACAGTATCTAAAAAGGATGGTTACAGCAAGCTATAAAATGACACTGATGTGATTAGTGTTTCTAAAAAATGTAGCCAGCAGGCCTTTAGTCTTTACAAGGAACCTCAAATACAACATTAGTTTTGACCATTTCCAGCTCAGGTCAGTTCATGTAAAAAGCTACAGTGAATACATTTCCGGCTTTTAAACCATCAGGCCTCTCACCTCGTCCTCACCTGCTGAACAAATGATGCTTTGATAGAAAAATGACTGATCTGTTATTCAATCTAGCCTTGATTTATTTCAAATTGAAACTATTCCAAAACGTGTGTGAGACATACCTCTAACAATCACAGCGTTATTCATACCTGCAGACGTCTCAACAGTCTGAGTCTACTCACAGAAAACCAGCTCATCGGGGCACTCCCCTGACTCTCTCTCTCTCTCTCTTTACTAATTTCAGTCTGTAAGGCAGCAGTGATCCATACAGCCTTGTATAATAGTCCATGAAGAGGAGGCTTTATATTCCCCCTGCTTCAATCTGCTCCAGTCTCAGCACTGCTGTCAACCAGCCTGGACTGAGCCGTGAGGGAACAGGGGACAGAGAGAGCGAGAGCGAGAGCGAGAGAGAGAGAGAGAGAGAGAGAGAGAGAGAGAGAGAGAGACTTGTGCCCCTTAAAGACGCCGTGTGGGCCTTTGTCGCCCTTTGTCGCCTTCTCCAATCAGCATGCAAGAAAAGACCTGGAGGAGCAGAAAGCACAGCTCTGCTCTGTCCTCTCTGCACACTCTGGACCACGGGGCAGCTGTGTATGCAGTATGCAGTATGCACACACAGAGACACACAAGCAAGCAATACAAAAAAAAAAGGCACCAGCAGAGCAGAGGCAAAGCAAACACAAGAGACAAACACAAATAAATAGAGCTGCAGGAGCGTCTGTTGGCCTGCTGCATCAGGGCGATAGGATGTCATGTGTTCTCTTGTTCTTTATGTTTGTCTCTCTCTGGTCCTGGCGGATTCTGTCGGGTCCTCTTTAGACAGGCAGAGGGGGGACAGAAGGTGATGATGAGACAAACATCAGACAGGTTTTTACTAAGAGGCTAACAAACGAGCAGCATCGTACCTCAAGCTGCCTGCAGGCACCACAACACAACAATAACAACAACAACATAGGTACTAAAGCAGACTCTTTTTTTTGTTGCAGATAGAAAGCACAAGTATTCTGTATGCATGCACTGAAGGTACAAGTGATGTTGGACACAGGATGATAAACTTTACACTTCTCTCTGCAGTTAAACATTCCACCTCAGATATCTCCTTCATGGCCGACGCAGCGGTTTAAACTATTGTAAGGATTTTCTGCAGCAGACACTGATTCTAAACCTGACAACATATAGGGAAGAGGGCAGATGGGTCCAAGCTTCTTATTTTCCAGTGTGCTTATGTTATCTGAAAAACCACAAAAAAAAAGGAAGGGATGTGCACTGATGCCAGCAGCATTAAGCACGTTCTTGAAAGCAGAAAATGTCAGGAAAATGTGTCCTTGTGCAGCAACGACTTTTCTGCTGACACTGTAACGATGTTTTCACTGCTCTGCTTTGTTGAATTGTACAGCTCCAGCTGCAGGTATGACTCAGATCAGAATATTTAACGTTTTCTGCAAAGATGGCCGTGAGAACCAACAAGCATTTTACAGCTTATTTTTTTGTGTTTTTGAAGATTTTCTCACTGTTCCTTTTTAATGATATTGGTATGAAACATTTCAATTCACAATGTAATAAAGAACATATTAAAATAATGAAATAAAGAACATATTAAAATAATGAAATAGTGTTAGCTGAGAGCTAAACTTTGAATTAAATTTTTCTGTTATTTAATCATTTAGCAATATCCGTGATGTTTCTTGTGTATTCCTTTCCTCATAAAATAAACCGATTAAAAGATGTGAATCTATTTCGTATCTTTGCAAACAATAGGAGTGAGTCTAACCTACAACACTTACACAAAGGAGAAGCAGCTGCCACAAGAATAACCGGGATCTGACTTCTGCTCTAATACATTCAAATTAAAGATGTAGAGGGGTTCATTTCTGCCTGAAAGCAACCACAACAAAAAAATACATATGCAGCCAGAATGTCTGTTTACTCTTCAAATTAAATTGTTCTGGGACAACCAAAGGCACTTAGAAGTCTTTATTGCGACATAACAACCCAGATTCACTTGAAGCAGATTTGAATAAGAGTGAACGTGGGAATACCTGTCACCTTGCCAGGTCACGTGACAAGAACATCACGTAGACTGAAAATAACCAGCAAAGCATAACAGGAATACTGAAGGAGTCATTTCACCGATGTGGATTTTCATCAAGAGCCGATGGATTGTCATCAAAAATGTGTAACTAGTTTTCTGTGAGTTTGTGTGTCTGTGTGTGTTCGTGGTCCCTTTAAGTGACACATCCTCGACAACGCAGCAATCCTCGTTGGCTTTTTGGACCAGCTCAAAATGTTTAAGTCGAAATAGGGACAACTACTAACAGAATAATCTCGTCTGACTATGTTAACACAAAAACTCTTCCTCAACGGACAAGTGATTTAGAAACAAGAGGTTCATTACCACACTGGCCAGTCATCTTTTAATAAATTATAATTACTCTGATTGAGATACAACACCTTACTGTGGCACTTATTTTTCCATGCAGCAGTCCTTCTAACTTGGTTTAAAAAGCTCCATTTAGAAGCCATTTCTAAAACGTCTTACTTACTACTCTAACACTTAAGGAGTACCAGCTTTCATGCTTAAAAAAAAAATGTTTTATTCCACAGGAAGCTCAAGCCTTGAATTTTTAGATCGGCTTATTTGTCAAAGAGTCACGATGCCACTATGGATTTCTGTTTAGAAAAAGTTTGCCTCATTAAATTATAAAAGTGTACTGGGCCTCATCACAGATTTCCAAACACTTAAGCTGAAGCATTATGCAGGACATCATTGCCAAACTCCGCTCGGGGCTCAGTAATTCATTCACCTCGGAACAGGTGACATTGACATTGTGCAGAAGCACAAGAGCACTGATGCATTGAGACACACGCAGCCATGCATATGCAGGAGGGAAACACACACAAATGTACCTACAAATACATACACACTCGACTTTAGGTCAGACAATGTCATGGAAAAATAATGTTGTGTTTATGAGAAGTGGCTGCTGTGTGTAGATAACATACTGTATTGCTTGGAGGGGATTTGATTAGAAGTGAGTGGGTGTGCAACACTTCTCCATCCTCCTGTGTCAAGTTAAAAAAAAAAAATCACTGCAAGGCCAGAGTTCTGCCACATAATAATAAACCTTAGTGGATGAACAAGGTTATTGAAGTGAAATTATTCATCTAAGCACAGGTCTTGTGTTAAAGAATGAATGCAACCATTTAGAGATTATAGAATCAATTGTTTATCAATCATACTTGGACTTAGGAAGAGGGAAAACTGATCATCCAGGTTTCTTTTGGAGCATCCGTTTGTTTTTATTCAAAAGCACGGCAAGACTTGGTCAGCGGAGACGTCTACAGGTTTTTGTCGGGTTTTGCTGGATCACTTCGGCACTCAATGGGAACAAAATCTGACCTTAAGCCTCAACAGCACGACTACAACAAATATCAAACTTGTCTACAGGCTCTCACTCAGGTCAACAGTACAGTCAGGTGAAAACTCAGACTTTGGGTGATGAAATGGCAGACTGCATCTTCTATCTCTCCAGGCAGAGGGAGTAAACCTTAACGTTGTTTAAAAAAAAAAAAAGACATGCACACAAGCCTTAACTGAATTATGAATCACACCTGTTGTTATTGTTTAACAGTTTACAGAGGAGTAGGATTCAACCAGGACAGGACACGTAGCTGTTAGGTGGAATTCACAGACATAAGACAGACATTACCAACATGTGATGGTGTTACATTCTATTTATATTTATTTAGTTTTCAGGTCAGCAAAAAGTATGTCATGGTCTGTACCACTATGAAAGATTTCACATCAAAAGAAAGCTCATTGAAAACGCTAATTTATTTACTGCTTTTCAACTCAGGCTGACAAAGACTGCTGACAAAGACGTCACACCGCAGCCACTTGTGAGTACTCGTTTCAAGTTTTATGGGCCTCTCAACAGCGCCCCAGTGGGCTTCATTTCCTCCAAGTCAGCCTTAAACAGCAGGACAACAACACAAATAAACATCAACATAACTCTGATGTAACCAGTGCAGCTGCTGTGAGATAAATGTCACATCTCCCCCTGAAGACAATGTGTGTTTACTGGGTAACTTTGTGAAAGTCACAGCAGCCCGAGCGGAAAGGTTAGTGGTGGGGTGAGGTTGTTTGTGGGAGTCTTCTCAGCAGACTGCACACCTGAGATGATCTCGTGGAGCCTCAGGTGGAGTCAGGCAAGTAATCTTTGAACTTCTCCTCCTCTCCATTCACTCTCTCTTTCTTCTTCTCTCTCTCTTTTTCTTCAGGGATAGAAAACAATCGATGACACGACTGGACCGCCCCACAGGTTCACACTGTGTCCAGCATGCTCCAAAGCTTTCGTTTTGTCCTTGTAAAATTCAAAATACTGGTGAAACTCTTGTGATACACCGTTTTCATCCGGTTTTCCAGCAATATGCATGAAATAAGAAAACATATCTGCATCTGTGAAAAAAAGTGAGAACAATCCCTCCTGTCGCAGAATTAGAAAAATAATACTCCACAGCTGCAGCCTCTATACTCTCTGATTGTCATTGTGTTATTTCTCACTGCTAAGGAAGACTTTGAGTTTATGAATCTTAGTGTGCACTACTGCATCTCTCTGATTTAACTCAGAGCCACTATCATTTGCCTTAGTCACAAAGCATTTATATATCTTAACATGCTAAGCCTGTTGCTCTGCAATAACTCAGCAGAAAAATGTGTTAGAGAGTGGAAATTCATGCTAATGTCTTGTCTAGTCATTGGTATTTATTAGATTCCCTGCATGCATTTAAAAGTTTCGGGGAAAAGTGAAACTATCCACTCATAAGTGAACACACTGTGAACATTAGCAAGTTAATACCACTGAACTTCTTTATGTTTCTGCTGAGGTGTTGCAGCACATCTGCTGCTGTTTTGGATACCGAGTTCTCTCTGTTTCAATTACACTTCTCATTAGAGAGAAACATCCACTGTTCACTGGCTTCCTGCTAACATCTGCTGTGTTTACACTCGGCCTCACTGATAACGCAATACCACCTATCCCATCGGATAGTCTGTGACATAATAAGCCTGAGATCCAGACACATTTAAGGGGGAACTTTATTTGGCTTTGACACACTGCTTCAACAGAAATGAGGGCAGTGGCAATCATTCAGTGACGTAGCGCTGATCTTTGCTGAATACTCTATGGACCATTCTAACTCAGGGAAACACTGTTTATGGTCATGCATCAGTCTGGGAAATACAAGAGAAGTTTAAAATCAGGGTTACATTTTTTGGGTGGTAATGGTAGTTTGTAACTAAAAGAACATTCGTTTGGTATAGAACAGATAATAAAATACGAGACATTAACATAAAATTGTCACATAAACTGCTGTGCCTTTTCATCGGCACCACCTACACCTTCAAACTATGAAGAGACTGTTTTTGTATTCCTCTGTTTGCAGGTCAACAACATTGAAAGTTCAAACATGTGCAGAAGAAGACAAAATACTTTTGATGAATGAAGAAAAAAAAGTATCCATCACAACTTTTGAAAGATGTACCTGGCGCTTTGAGCGTCCATGCGTTTAATCCCCTCTAGCAGATGATTGAAATATAAAGATAGATTTGACAAGAACAGCAAGGAAGGAGGATACATTAGATGGGGGAAAAAGAAAGAGGAGAAAAGCGGAAGCTATAAGACGGTGTGGGTAGCAGGTGGATGCCAGCATGGTGGGGGGCCCGGAGAATAAGCCCAGCAGGGGAGGGAATGAAAGAGACAGATAATTGCAGTGAGGGAGGAGGACAGGTGGAGAGAAGGGAGGAAGGTTGA